CCGGTGCATTTATTCTTTGTGTTCTCTCAAATCCTAATCTTCTAGATTCTTCAACCCTCTAGTTTTTGTCTTTCTAAAACTTATCTCACTGAATCATCATACTTCTTGAATAATATCTTTTAATCCTAACCTCTTTTCGATTACTTCTAATACCTTTACTACCTCTTCTACTATTGGATTTGAACTGACAATTACATCTCTCTGTGCTGATGTGGTATGGCAACATGAACTGATGTACTTACGTACGAAGTTCCTACGTTGCATCTGACTGACTGACTGATTGTCATTGCGATGCTGTATTTTGTAACATATCACCATTGCTAATCAATAATGTGTCAGTCAGTCATGTTAGCTGGATGGGTCAAATTGCACTGTTCATGTGGTGCATACTGATTGACTACGCGATCATGGATCGGACATTATGTATTTACTAGTGTATATAAATGGTGTGAATGGTCCACCACGGTGTCAGGTACCTGTGTGGGGCTGTACCTCGAGGTTTCAGCCAAACTGTTCACGTTGAAATGTTAACACATGGGCAGTCTCCTTGATTCTCCATGTTATAATTCATTCATTCTGGTATTCAAAGCCAGTATACACTGTCCACTTCAACCACTTCTAAGAGCCAGATCATACATCCATCCTCCTGTCGACTCATAAATAGAACAAGAAAAGAACATCTTCGATTTCCTTAGCTAATCCGCGATTCTCTCTATTCTATAAATAGAGAGAGAAATATTTTTTTTTGTAACTATAATTAATATGATTACGTTTATAAAAGCAAAGAAAATGTCATGAGATCATCATCAAGTTTTTTGTTTGAAATGAAAAAAAAAATTGACTTTAAAATCACACTAAATCACCACCGCATTCAATTCAACAATGTTCAATGTTGCGGTGTAGAAGAAGAAACAAACAAAAAAGTGATGCTTTCAAAACTTCAAAGTAAATTTACCATTTAAAAAATTGAATTTTTATTAAAACTAAACAATTTTGGTGGAGTGTTTGTTGCATAATGAAATCGTCAATCAATCAGTCGATCAATCATTGTTAGACTAATATGAGAAAAATTGTAAACTGTGCTCACTAATTTTGAGCAGTAATAACTTTTGTGATGAAATTCCATGGAGTTCTAGGTGAGAAGACGTGAGTGACCACCAGTGGAGGTCAACCCTGTTAGGGTGTAGTAGGCAGTATAACTACCAAAGACAAATGGATGAAGTCATGCAAAATCTGTAGATTGATCAGAGTTAGTAGACATGAACACTGTTGGATGCCGGCTCAGTGGTCCAGAGGTTAGGCGTTAGGCCACATGACTGAAGGTCCTGGGTTCGAATCCTGGGAGGTGCAGGAGTCGTGGATGCACGCTGCTGATGAGTCCCATTGTGAGAGTAAAGGGCTGGCTGTCCAGTGCTTCCAGGTTTCTAATGGGATCCAACAATGACTGATTGATGATTTAACTGTGAAGTGAACAATTTTGACCATTTCATCAACACACCAACAATAAGGTAACACTGAGTCTATCTGACATTTCAGTAAAAAAGATGAATGTAAAACACTTGTGATCAATTTTCAATCAGTCCTTTGATAGGACAGAACGATACCGCTATTGGTCATGATGTCGACTTAAACAACTGGTTTAGTCTGGTTTAGTCCATAACGACATAGGTGGGTAATAATTAGTGTTCATCAGACAGTTGCCCCATTATCTCCCTATCTTTTTCGGTGATTGAACACGCTACTCGCTATAACCACCGCGGCATCAATTAGTTCTTAGTCATTAATGAAGTAGTTGTTTTTGAATGGAGAGTTTGGTAATAGAGAAAACAATCAAGTTACAAATTGACAACAGTTATTGTTGTGGTCAGGTCTTATTGTGCAACGGAAGTCGTGGTTGTCTGCCATACATGAGCGAGAAGGGTGATTTGTACCTTGTATGGAGGAACGATGTGCCAGCAAAATCAATCGTAACTCTTTCTTCCAATCTCCTCCTTTAGATGCTAACCATTCCTTTAACGTTCAGTTGTTTCTCTCTGTAAGCCCGTTTGTCTGAGGGTGATACAGTGTAGTTCGTATCACCACTTCGGTCACTGTTCTTGCCCGCTGGTCTGCAATAGGTACGGCATCTGTCCAACGTGTAGCATGCTCCGTCATCACTAGCAGGTACCGGTTACCGGTCGCCGTCTGTGGAACCGGTCCCATTATATCCACCGACCATAGATCACCGACTGTGGTTACTGGGATTGACTGTAATGGCGGTTGTGTGTATCTATCGCTTTCCATAAGTTGACACTGCTGGCAAGTTAACACGTATTGAGCCACATCGTTTTTCATGCCCGGCCAGTATGCAATTTGTCGTAATAAATCCGTCGTTCTTGCGATGCCTGTATGTACTACCTGGTGACACTCGTGTATCATCTTACGCCGCCAGTCTTTCGGGATTGCAGCCACCCAATTCTTGTTTTCGTACAGCCAGGTCAGGACTCCATATGCGTTCACTCTCAGTGGCTCCTTTTCCCGAAGTAACATTATTACCTCCTTGTCCGTCGTTCGTTTGTCTACGTCTGCTCCTTCTTTTATCACTCTGATTACCTCTTGAAGGTTCGGGTCAGCTTTCTGTTGCCGGATGAGTTCTAATGGGTCTCCCTCTAAACTACTCACCGCGTATGCTGTCAATGGAAGGTCAGCTTCCATGTCTGATCTTGACAAGTAATCCGCCATTACGTTTTCCTTTCCTGGAACATGGCCGATACTGAAGTCGTATTCTTGCAGACGTATAAAAGGTACGGTCTCCATTTTTCTACTTCCCACACGATTGCTAGGCACTCCTTTTCGATCGTTGAATACTTCTGTTCGGCGGGTGTGATAACGCGACTTGTTGTCAACAGATTTTATATAATTCATGAGCTACAGAGTATTTTTTTTGTAACAGCATATCGAAGCCTGAAAAACTCTCTTGGAAGCATTTTATCCAATCACGGTTGAGCATCTAGAACGAAGAAAAAAAATCACATGCTATGATTTTGATTGGACATTGACCTATAGCATGACTAGATTTAGCATGGTCGCGGAAACTTCCAGAAGTTCAAGGTCACATGTGACCGTTAGTACCTTTGATTTCTTGTTGATAAAATAACTTTCAAGTGAAACATTGTTGTTTTTACACACTTCATATCTTTTCACCGATATTCAAGTTGTTGTGTAGATTTAATCTTGAGGTTGTTAAGAGGGGCTTGGAAATCAGGTCCTAGGATCGATCCCTGAGAGTATCAGGAGTCATGGTTTTGCACTGCTGATGAGTCACATAATCGGACGAAACAGCTATCCAGTGCATCGAAATTGCTAATGGTGGTCTAACAATGATCGGCCATCTATTTAACTTGTTTATCAAGCCTAAAGACACTATTTTAAGATTTGTCTTAGGGTTAAGCATGTAAGTTGAGTGAAATTTACAGATCAGATATTCGTTTGTATTGACTGCACACTTATAACTTTGAACATCTATATGTATTTCCCGACCGAGTTATATTGACTGGAAAACCTTTTTCTTAAGGTCTTACCATGCCAGGTAGATCGATTGTAGAACGGTAGCTTCAAGTCTGAGGGTGAAGTAATACTTCTGACACTGTACAGCGGTATGACAGTAGTAAGATGTTTTCCACGAACAACTAGCTGCTAAAACTATTCTGCCTTCTTACAATGGAAGGATCGATCCTAAAAATGTCACACTTCATCTTACCCCACGGATTTCTGTCTCTAGCGCTAAGCCTTTTTAAGAGCAGAGCTAAGGCGTTAGAAATTTTCCATAAAAAGTCCCTGCGCCACCGACCTGAAGTAGTTATCCCTTAGGCACTACGGTCACGCTCCCAACTCACTAAAACCAGCACTAATCCAACCTTCTATTTCCAATTCTTCAAGAACACATTCCTTTTACAGTGTGAACAACAGGGCAAGTCATATCCATCTTCATACTTTTAATGGCACTTTGATCTCTAATCTATCTATAGAGTAACATCAACCATGAATTTACATACTTCTCATTTGAAAAACAACAACTTCATCTTTGTGTAACGCACAATTCCAATATAACTTGAGTACAAAATATTCAATGTACAATAATATATTATAGTGAATTAGGGTTGTATTAAACCCTTTAAATTTTCATTTACTTAAATTTACACTCACTCCCTCACTCACACACATACACACACTGTTTTGACTTGCTTAGCATTATGAACCCTCAGTTTACACAAATGACACCAATAAACACGTATTATTAATCATGCCGAATAGTTTGTTTTTTGAGATTTCAATGTGTGAAATCAATAAGCACACACACGCACACACACACAAATAAACAATGATTTGTTTGACTTGACTTGACTTGAACTAGAACAGGTCAATCAATAAATTGATGAATAAATTGTTTAATGCAACAAATTCGAAAGAAAATTTTGGGGCAGAGTTTTGGAGGTTTGCGTTTTTACAAATTTGAAATCATCAATCAGTTATTGTTAGACCACCAATAGAAACCTGGAAGCACGCGCGCATCCACGACTCCTCCTCCTCCTCCTTGCGGGACTCGAATCCAGGACCTTCAGTATTGTAGGCGAACGCCTTAACATCGGACCACTTAGCCGCTGCCTGACGGTGTTAATGTCTAACTCTGATCAATCTAGGGATTTTGCGCGACCTCACCCATTTGTCTTTGGTAGTTACTGCCTACATTCGACAGGGTTGAACTCTACTGATCACGTCTTCTCAACTAGAACTCCGAGAATTTGTTTGTAGCCAATCGTCTGCTTTTCAATGTTCAGTACAATATATATATATTGAGCGGTTTTTTTTGCCCCTCCCGTTCGTTTACTGGATTGAATGCTGTTTATACTGAGTAGTATAGTTTTCGTTGAAATGATTTCATCCAGCTTGTATATGATGTACCTTTACGAGGCGATTTATATTAAGTAACCATTAGAGAGTTGGAAGTGTACTGGGTGAAAGTTTCTTTTTGGTATGGGATTCCTTGAGTATGATGAGCACCCACGAACCTAGATCTGGGAAACACACTACGGATCTTTTGTCTGGTGCATCAGTGAGAATTACTCTTGTATATACACCACTGACACACTGAACTAACGGAAAAATACTCACAAAAAACTTAACTTGACATTTTTATTGAATATTGAAAAAAGGATGGTTGTTTCTAGACGTGGTACATTGAATGCTTATTTTCTGTACCAGTATTTTTTTGTGATTTTTGATGGATATTACTACTTACATTATTGAGTTATTGAGATTACGTAAATTATGAATCGATCGTTGTTAGACGATCGATAGAAACCTAGAAACACTGGATGGCCTGTTCGTTCTAGTTTGCGACTGAACAGTATCGGGCATCCATGACCCACGCTTACAGGAGTCAAGTCTGGGACTTTCGGTCTCGCGCGCCAATGCTTAACCTCTAGACCATTGAGCCAGCATCCAATGGTGTTGATTGTGCTGATGTTTAGTTCTCTGAGCTGGATTTTTTGGTTGTGGAGCTTTTATTGTTCTTCTGAACAATATCATCAGCACAAACTTCAGATCTGAAGTGCAAAAGAAGAGTCATTTTTAAGAGCGATAACAGTGATGTTTATTAAAACTTATGCAACGTTATTTTCATAAACTCAGTTTGCATATTTTTACAACAGGTTGGATGCCGGCTCAGTAGTGTTGTCGTTAAGCGTTCGTTCAAAAAACCGGACATCTCTGAGCTCACTTCTTAGATGCAAAGCCATTGATAAGCACTGTTCAGGAGTTCTATGGTAGGATGAAACGACCGTTCAATGCTTCAAGGTTTCTAGTTCTAGTCCAAGTCAGAGTGATTCGTTAAGTAAACCGGAGGACATTTTAAAATGTACATAAATCAACGTGAAAATTGATATCAAACTGATTTAAGCAACTAGACCTGGATAGCTTTTTTTATTAAGCATTTGATGTTATGGAGTTGTGGACCCCTTTACCCAACCCATCCTAGAAATACTTTTCTATCCTGTACACAGTGACAAATGAAAGCTGATGACGACTAGTGTAGCTACAGCCCTTCTAGTATCAAACCTCAATATGCATTAACCAAATCATACATGACGGAGAAACTTTGGAAGATGTGTAAAACTTTACACACCTGATCAGAATCGTTGATAAGCAGAGAAGATTAGCAAAGTACAGACATCATGTCTAGAATTAAAGAAAATCTCCAATTCATAATAACTGTCAGTCATTAATTACTCAAGTATGGAATGGAAACTTCGAGAACTCTTCAAGCCATCATCCGAAAGATACGGGTGGTTGTAAAGAGTTGTCTACACAAAATACTCCACATTCATCGGCCAGACTCCATCAGCAACCATCTATTATGAGAGAGAGAACAAACCAGAATCCAACTGAGGAAGAAATTAGGGAAAAAGCGCTTGAGGTGAATAGGACACAATGTGAAAATCACTCAATAACATCATAAGGCATGCCTTAACTTTTAATTCACAATGCTAGAAGATCAGAAGCATAACTGTTAGGATATTCATCCAATATCCTTAGAGAATTATTAGTCAATTGCTATTGGTTAATTCCTACTGGTCAATTTTGTGGTCATCCTAGATATCAGTGTCACGCACTTCAATTTTAATTCTTATTGGTCGTCCTGACTTCAAATGCTTTTTCCTATTGGTCATGTTAACTGTCAATCTCCTAGACTTCGATGCTGTTTCCTATTCGACCAAAATGTATATATACGCATTATCTGTAACGTTTTATGACCAGGACCAGGATAAGGGCTCGGTCCCGAATCCCTGGTCCGGGATCCTGATTCTCTTCTGGATTCGGACTTGTACTTTCTGGATGCTTGTGGAATACAGGTTTTATTCATATCAAGTCTTGTCTTATTTTTACTAAACATGGGATTTGGGATAATCGGGTTTGAGTAGTATGTCGTGTCGCCAGCTCCTCGATCCTCACTCTCGTTTTCTGACTAAGGGGTAAACTCGTGACAGTTCAAGTATATCAAGTTGACGTGTTTACGTGCAGGCGTAACTGGTAACAAGCATAAGTAAGTAAGTAGGTAAGTAAACAGGTAAATCTGAATGGAAATATGATTCAACTATATCGGTCGTAGATTAATCTACGCTCTTCTATCGATTCAGGAAATTTTAATAAAAAATATATATATATTTTATTTTCCAATCTAATCTTTTATCAGGTACATCGTTAGATACGAAATTAATTTCTATCGATTGGTTATCAATGATTTATATGCTCACTTATATTCCATTAATATTCCCGATGAATTGGATATTGAATAAATGGGGCCTACGTGTCACTTTACTAGTTGCTTCATTATTGAATGCAATCGGTGGTTGTATTAAATGTGTCGCTGGTCTAGTTACTTATGAAACAACATTTGGACTAACTAATCCTCAACCTATACCATGGACGCATAAATTTGGTTTTCCTATATTGATGACAGGACAAACTATATGTGGTATAGCTCAAACTGGTCTATTAGGTATACCGGCACATTTAGCAGCAGTTTGGTTTGGAGCAAATGAAGTATCAACAGCTACTGCACTTGGTGTATTTGGGAATCAAGTAGGTTTTGATTTTCTTGTATGTTGTTGTCATTACTTACTTACTTACTTACGCCTGTTACTCATAGTGGAGTATAGGCCGCCGACCAGCAGCATTCTCCAACCCACTCTGTCCTGGGCCTTCTATCCAATTGGTGTTTATTCTGTTCTTGTCGGTAAAATGTGTTCTTTTACCTTTCTCTTTTCCTTTGACTTTACAGAATCACAAGTTAGGGCTTGTCTTGTGACACAGTTTGGTGCTCTCCGCAGTGTGTGTCCTATCTACCTCCAGCGCCTAAATCTGGTTTGTTCTGTCCCACAGTCGAGTGTTCCTGATGGTGTCTGGCCAAAGGGTCCGAACTGTTTAGTGTAGAAAACTGTGATATAAACACTTGTGTCTCCCGCATGATAGTTTAGTCAGTTCTTCAAGTTTCCGCAGCATACAGTGGAACTGTCTTGACATTTGTATTGAAACTTATGACTTAGTGTGTTGGTTGATAGTTGTTTGGAGTTTCAGTTGTAGAAACGCTACTCTTACTCTGTCGATTCTCGCCTTCACATCTGCATCAAATCCACTTAATATATATATCAACGATGCTGCTCAGATATGTAAAGGTTCCTAAATCTTACAAAACTTCTCCATGAAGTGTTATCTTGTCAGTGCTCTTGTCATTAAGAGGTGCAATTAATCAGTCTCTACAGAATAGAGTGTGCGCCACCTGAGCGAATCAACTCGATCTCAGCATTCAGTCAGATAGATCGCAGTGTTTTAATAACAATTTCAAGCTAATTATGGACTTGAGTTTACCAAAAGCCGCGTCGCATTCTCTAGTTCAGTTTCATATGTTGTTCTTCTGCAGTAGACAATTCAATGGAGCGCGAATACCATGCATCGAGGGAAAAAATGCTGAATAATAACTGATTAATCGGAGAAAAGATCGTAATTTCGGGACAGTGGGAGTGGGCATCAGTTTGATAGCTTGGATGTTCTCAGGATCCGGTCTGCGACCATCAGCATCAAAGATGAATAGCAAATACCTTACCGACTGCAATAGAAACTGGCATTTTTCTGGGCGTAACCTGAAACCGTAGTCACTGGTGCATTGTAGTACCAGTGTCGTGCATTCCTGTAGCTGTTCTAATGTCAAGCTGCAACCCGTGAGATATCTGATAGGATAGTATCCATTAGTTGCTGGAAGACAGATGGGTCAGTCCTAAATCAAAAGGTCGGACCGATGTACTGGAACAGACCATGATGAGTATTGATAGTAAGCAGCTCTCTACATGTTTCATCTACTTCCACTTGCAAATAAGCATCAGCTAGATGGAGCTTTTCGAAAAACTTTCCCTCATTCAGCATAGTAAACAGTGTTTTGAGAACTGGTAGAGGGTAACGATGTTGTTCCAGAGCTAAATTGAGATCTGTAGAAAATCAGCACATATACGTTTCGTGCCGTTGGCCTTCTTGATAATGACTATGCATGCTGCACAAGCAGAATGAGAAACGGGCGTATTAACTCCTTCTTGTTGAAGGCGATTCAAATATATATATCTACTTCGCCATTCAGTCAGTACAATATTGGTTGATGACTGCCAACTCAACAACTAGACGGTTTAACATTCCAATATTGAAGTTCACGTTGGGATAAAACTTAGTAGTTTTCACTTCAAAAACTAATCACCTTTTCCAAATCAGCTATCGAATTCAAATCATCGCTAACTTATACACTAAGTTTGGATGATATTGTTTGATCTGTATTCCCCAACTCGTTAATCGGTGAATAATGTTTTTTTAATCCGTAAATAATGTTGTGGTGCGAGCTACTTATAAGTAGTATATGACGTGAGTGTAAACGTAATGTCTGGCAGCAGAAGATGGGGGAAGGTCAAGAAAGGAAGAGTGGGAACACAATGGAATTTGTATGAAACGCATGAATAAGTGAAATGTCAGACAATGGATCGATGTTTTGCAAATTAACGATTTACGATATGGTTTTCCTATTTTACTGAGTAACTCTGTAATTTTCGTTAAATACAATTCGGTTGTCCGCACCTGTGTTCTCTTTCACTATAATGGTAACAACAAATTGTTCCCTGTGTAACCGATTGTTCAAAATGTGATGAAGTCTCTAAAAGCTTCTAAGAAACCGAAGAGAATCCATCGAATCATAATCCAGAGACTATATGTTAGGATATTCAGCAAGTATCCTAATAAAATTATTTTTGTAAGTCTAATTGTATTGGTCAATTCATACTGGTCAGTAGTATGGTTGTCCTAACTATCAATGTCACGTGCTTCAATGTTGTTTCCTATTCGACCAAAATGTATAAATACGCATTATCTGTAACGTTTTATGACCAGGAACCGGTCCCGGATCCCTAGTCCGGGATCCTGATTCTCTTCTGGACTCGGACCTCGTACTTTCTGGATGCTTGTAGAATACAGGTTCTTGTCTTATTTTTACTCTACATGGGAGTTGGGATAATCGAATTTGAGTAGCATGTCGTGTTCGCCGGATCCTCGATCCTAGCTCTCGTATTCCGACTAAGGTGTATACTCGTACTATATAGTTCAAGCCAATCAAAATGACGTGTTTTTTCCATGCAGGCGTGTAACAGAAATATAACTATTAGTTACCTATAGTCAACTGGGTTTTTTTGATCGAATTAAACGATTCGTTCTCTCTCTTTCTGTTACGCCTGTACGTAAACACATCAACTTGATATACTTGAACTATTACGAGTTTACCTAGTCGGAAAGCGAGAGCGAGGATCCGGTGACACGACATGTTACTCAAATCCGATTATTACAACCCCCATATTTAGTTAAAATAAGAAGACATGATATGAAGTAGAACGTGTATTCTACAAGCATCCAGAAATTACAAGGTCCGAATCCAGAAGAGAATCAGCATCTCGGACTAGAAATCCGGGACCGGGCCCTGGTCCTGGTCGTGGTCATAAAACATTACAGATAATGCGTATTTATACATTTTGGTCGAATAGGAAACAGCATCGAATTCTGTGACATTGACAGTTAAGACGACCAATAGGAAGTAACATTTGTTGAAGTGATATTGATAATCAGGACAACCAATAAGAAACAACATTGAAGTATTTGACTTTGATAGTTAAAACGACCATAATTTTGACCAATAGAAATCGACCAATAGGATTTGACCAATAATAATTCTCTTAGGATATTTGATGAATATCCTGACACTTTCTATAAACAATGATTCATTTTAATCATCTTCTATTTGTTTTATTTTTATTTTTATTTTTTTCTTCTCTCTCTGAATATAATCATATCAATTGGATAGCTTGGTGTTGCATTTGGCTTTTTAATACCACCATTAATATTGCCACCGATACCGTATAGTGTCAGTGCAACTGATAAACTTGATCCATCTGTTGATCCGAATGAATTATTCAGCAGGATAAAACATTATATGATGATCATGTTATATTTTAGTGCAGCATTAAATATTCTACCATTTGTATGTGTATTATTTGGTAAGTTGTATAATAGTACATTCATGCATAAATATATATATATATATATATATATATATATATATATATATATATATTGATTTAGTCAGTCAGATGCAACGTAGAACTTTGTACATATGTACGTATGTCGCCATACCACATCAGGACAGAGATATCGAATTGTCAACTCAAATCCAATAGTCGTAGAGGTAGTAAAGGTATTAGAAGTAATTGGAGAGGTTAAGGATTAGAAGATATTATTGAAGAAGTATGATTCAGTGAGATAAGTTTAGAAAGACAAAAGTAGAGATGTTGAAGAATCCAGACGATTGGAATTTAAGAGAATACAAAGAGTGGATGCACCTGCACCATTGCAAACGATTTTGAGCCATGTCATTCAAGGTCTCTAACCATCGATTATTATCATCTCGCGGACCCCAACCAGGTAGTCGACACCTACCAACATGACTCAGTCCACTTGTCAATGACTTCATGGATTTATGCCATGTTTTGGTCTGGCCGCCCCTAGCTTTCTTCCAACCTATTCCTACACTACAAAACAAAGCTCGTCAAGGCAGTCGGTGGTTAGGCATACGCAGCACATGTCCCAACCACCTCAACTGATGAAGTGTCACTACTGCGTCTATTGATTTGCCATTCTTACCTAGCACCAATATCCTAATAACAGCGTTGCTCACTCGGGTGTCCCATGATATACGAGCAATTACATCCCTGTACTAATGTGGTATGGCAACATGAAATGCTGTACTTAGGTACGAAGTTCTACGTTACTTCTGACTGACTGAGTGAATGATAGTTGGAAGTAGGCAAGTTCAGGAATCAACAACTCTTGACGTTGATTTATGTTTCTGTTTAAAGATTAACACACAGGATTTAAACAAGTGATTAGTCCTGAACCTTAGTATCAGTCATCATACAAAATTATAGTCAGTCACATTATATTACGTCTAGTCATGTTGCACCGTATACTACTCGTAATGAGACTTATCAGTAGTGTGCGATAGAGTGTCACTCAGAAGTGACTGCTGAAACGTGACGAGTATCAGATCCGGAAGTATCAAACGATCAAGATATTTTGAAGACTAGAAGATATGTGGAAGAAGAAGATGAAGAAGAGGTTTGAAACGATGGTGTGTACATTTTGCCCGAGAAAAGACTGTCTTCAGATAAATCATTTATTCCATTCGGTTTTTAACATCTTAGACTTAGCTCATGACAGTTAATAATTATGTATTGGATGGAGATATCCAGACTTGATTAGGGAAGATTTAGTTTACAAACAAACTATATACACCTTATCTTCCGGTGAAGTTCGACCCTGTTCGAATGTAGGCAGTTATCTTCCGACCACATTGGGTTAGGTTGCGCAAAGTCCTTAGCGTGATCAGAGTTAGATGTTAACACCAGTCGATGCCGGTTCAGTGGTCCAGGGGTTAAGCGTTCGCGCTCAAGACCAAAGGTCTTAGGTTCGCATGCTCCGAGTAGCAGGAGTCGTGGATGCACACTGCCACTGACGAGTACCATATCAGGACGAAACGACTGTCCAGTGATTGATTTACAACTTCAAGGTAAAAAAACTACAATCTCCATAGTACTCTAATGAAAAAGCTCATTAACGGCGGGGGGCGGTCTTTGGAGATTGTTGACATCCGCTGACGCCATCAACCGATTAGTATCAAACTACCATTAAAAAACCTGAAGGCATTCCACCATCCAATTCTGATAATTATTCCATGTTCACTAATGACTCGACTGTTCGACTGTTCATATGGTTAGGCCCTCACGCTCGAATTCGAAAATACTTGTTTCGATTTCCACTAGTAGGGTCGTAGCTACACGCACTGTTGAGAAGTTCCATATTGCGACAAAATGTTCATCCACTGTTTCTAGTGCTCATGTCATTATATCAATCAGTTAATGATCACATGAATATATCTGGAATCTTCTTACTTGTTAAATAATAATTCCAATAACGAAATGAAATCATTGTTTAATAAACCGGCCTCATTTTTTTTCAAATTTAATGGGCCAATTTCTCCCTCTCCCTCTCTCTCCCTCTTCCGATCAATCAATGCCCCCGAAAAAAAAAGGTTTTCGTGCTAAACCAAAAACAGAACCAAGTTTAGCACAACATAAACGAACGGGTAATAATAATAATACAATGAGAAAGCGTCCACTAACTCTAACTGATCGATTATCCATTGTTCATCAATCTGCCAATGGTATTCATTCAGTGGTCAATAACAATCCTGCTACAACTATTACTATGATGAATAACAATAATCATGAGAACAGTAATAACATGGATAAAGGTTTGTTTTTCTGTTTAAAATCGAAACATGTTTTGAATTCAATTTTTTAAAACAACAATTTTTAGCAATTTGTTGGAATTGTAAAACGTGTTCATTGTGGTGGTGTTTGGTTCTCTAAGCTGGATGATGTTTTGGTTGTGGGGAGCTTTCATTATTATTGTTCTTCTTCTGCCGAACAACAAAAACATCATCATCAACAGCACAAACTTTAGATAGAAGAACTGAACTGAAGTGAAGTGAAGCGCATTCGAAGCATTCTTCACGTTTGACCTGCTGTAGCTTGTTCTGTTAACCTCGTTCGTGATTGGTTGTTGTTGATCGTAAACCTACTTGGACTGGGCAGTAATTGAAAATGTCAACAGTGTTTATCCATTGAGAAACACAAGCCTCTTCAATAGGTCATCGAACGATTTGCACCATGGTCAATATGCAATTGAAATAGTTTGATTTTTAAATAGTTATCCGTTAAAATTTATCAGTAGTTGTAGAAATGAGTGAAAATGAAAACCTGTTTATATCACTTTACCATTTAGAAATGAATTCAATGGTCTAATCTGAAAAGACAGCGATTAAAAGTAGCCACTGAGAGAAAACTGTAAGCCCATGATTACAACACATTGGACCTAAACGTTACTCGAACAATGATTATAGCACATTCGCTCACATTTATATCGATTTGCATGTTTGTGTGAACCTACGAAAAGCACCGCACTGCGTCACAAGACAAGCCCTCACATGGGACCTGTCAGGGCGAAAGGAAAAGAGGAAGGCCAAGAAACACACTACGCCAAGAAATAGGGAAAGATATGAGAAGAATGAACGTATATTGAACAGAACTAGAAAGCGAAGCCTAGGACAGAGTTGGTTGTAGAACACTGGTGGGCGGCCTATGCTCCATTAGGGGTAACAGGCAAAAGTATGTTTGTGTGAACACATATGGAGGAGTAATCGAAGCATGTACCTAAGCTGCTTCAAAATCAGTTAACTTCAGATAAGCCGATTAGCGTGTGAATTAGAAAACCATGGTCATCGATTGGAAAACACATAATTGAGACGGAGCGCTTAAGATTGACATCAAGACAGCCATCAAAACATTGTATGGAACTGCTGAAGGACGATGTTTTAGATTTTATGGAAGCCTTGGCTATTCGTAAATTAAAATCCCCATTCTTTTGTGTACAGAAACAATTTGTCGTAAACCTTGAATTTATACTCTGCTATTCTTTAAGCCAAAGGGGGTAATGTGACAATTTTCCTACCATTTCTTATTCTATCTCTCCATTTACAATTATCACCTTTATAATTAACTTTCATATTCAAATGCCTTGACAAGTGTACACATATGTGTGTGCATGATCAGATTGTTCCAAAAACATGTATATAGCGTGCAAATACACCAAATAAATTTCGCCCAAAATCTGTAGATCAATCAGAGTTAGACAGACATGAACACCGTTGGATGCCGACCCAGTGAACCGATAGTTTAGACGTTCGCGCTTACTTACTTACTTACTCCTATTGTAGTGAACGAGAACACAGGTGGGGCGACCGGATTGTATTTAACGAAAATTGCAGAGTTACTCAGTAAAGTTGGAAAACCATATCGTAAATTCTTCATTTGCAAAATATCAGTTCATCATATCGAACTGGACTGTTGCTGTTGCAAAACATCAATCCATTGTCACTATTCATGCGTTTCATACAAATTCCATTGTGTTCTAACTCTTCCTTTCTTGATCTTCCCTCATCTTCTGCTGCGAGACATTACGTTGACACTCACGTCATATACTACTTATAAGTAGCTCGCACCACAGCACCACACTGTTACCCCCAATGGAGCATAGGCCGCCGATCACCAGTTTTTTTTGCCAACCAACTCTGTCTGTCCTGGGCTTCTCTCTCCAGTTCTGTCCAATTTTTTGTTCATTCCTCTCATATCTTTCTCTATTTCTCGGCGTAATGTGTTCCTTGGCCTTCCTCTTTTCCTTTTGCCTTGAGGGTTCCATGTGAGGGCTTGTCTCGTGACGCAGTTGGGTGCTTTCCGCAATGTGTGTCCTATCCACTTCCACCGCTTCTTCCTGATTTCCTCCTCCACTCGAATCTGGTTTGTTTTCTCCCACAGTTCGTTGTTGCTGATGGTGTCTGACCAACGAATCCGAAGTATTTTGCGTAGACAACTGTTAATAAATACTTGTATCTTCCGGATGATGGCTTTGGTAGTTGTTCAAGTTTCCGCTCCATACAGTAGAACTGTCTTCACATTTGTATTGAAAATCTTGATTTCGGTTTTGGTTGAAAGTTGTTTGGAGTTCCAGATATTTTTCAACTGTAGAAATGCAGCCCTCGCTTTGCCAATCCGCGCCCTCACATCTGCATCGGATCCACCTTTCTCGTTGATGATGCTGCCCAGATATGTAAAGGAGTTAACGTCCTCCAAGGCATCTCCATCAAGAGTGATTTGGTTGGTGCATGTTGTGTTGCATCGGAGAGTTTTGCTTTTTCCTTTATGTATGTTGAGACCTACTGCTGCAGAGGCTGCTGCTATACTGCTCGTCTTCTCTTGCATTTGTTGTTGCGTGTGCAATAGGAGAGCTAGGTCATCTGCGAAGTCCAGATCGTCCAGCTGCGTCCTAACTGTCCATTTGATACCGTGCTACACACGTTCGCGCACAATACCATAAGCCCCAGGTTCGAACCCTGCGAGGTGCAGGAGTGGTTGCGCACTGCCACTGATGAGTAGTCCCATACACCAGGACGAGACGTCCGTCTTTCAGAGTGCTTCTTTCAGGTTTCTAATGGTGATGATCTGACAATGACTGATTGACTGTGTAAAATCACAAATCTCCAAAACTCTATCTCTAACTTCATTTTATTTTATTTCTATTTTCGTTTTGTTAAAACTTTCAATTGAAACCATTGAACAATGTTGTGAACCAACACAATTCAGAGCTCAATGCCAATCAATTCATTTCAACAAAACCGACAACATCAAACAATGAAATGATGACTGATGATTCAATCATGGCGAATAATTTCATTGTCCATGTTGGCGGTGACGATGCTGTTGTTGATGGTGAGAATGTTGTTGATGATGATCGTGAGGATGGGGACGATGACGGTGTGAATAATCATAAAAACACTATTGACAATCATTCTTATCAATCATTACGCAGTAGTAATAATAATAATATAAATAGAAATGAGAATATTACAGCTGCATTGAAACGTTTATTTAAAAATATACCATTTGTATTATTATTTATAAGTTATGGTAAGTAAAAATTGGATAAAATCGATTTTTTTTCTTTGATGGTGGCAATTTGCATACTACTACTATTCTTTTTATACACATTTTTGAAACCATGAATCGATCATTGATAGACCACCATTAGAAACCTGGAAGCACTGGATGGCCGATTGGTCCTGGTACGGCACTCAATCAGTGGCAATGCGCACCGACGACTCCTGCATTCCGCAGGATTCGAACCCAGGATCTACAGTATTGTGTACGAACGCTTAACCTCTAGACCACTGAGCTGATATCTAACGGTGTTAATGTTGGACTCGAACTCTGGAGGATTTCCTTGAAATGTCATCACGTTATACACCACGGAGTGAATATCAACTCTAAGGTGAAGGTACATGCAACTGACGAGTACCAGAGTACGATGAAACATACAGCTTTGATTTCAACGCAAGCCACGTTTTATTTATTCTGTTTAGACTTGTATCATAATGGGTATATATTGGTTCACCAATACTGATCGAATTTCGATCACATCATGAAAAACGAGAGCGTTTAAAAACCATTTCAAATTGATTTAAATCTCAAGTTTATTGTATAAGCCAGTGGCTCTCTGAACTCAGTAGCTAGATAGATAGTGTGATGGCGTTTAAAACTGAACGGTACTGATTATGAATCCTACAGTGTGAATATCAACTCTGAGATGAATCTACATCTAGCTGACAAGTGACAAAATAGGACGAAACACGTATTTTTGATTCCTTCGCTAGCAATATTTGATCTTTTCTGCATAAAAATATTTCTTATGCCTGTTACCCCCAATTGAACATAAACTGACAAACAGCGTTTGCCAACCTACTTTGTCCTCAACCTTCCCCTCTGGATAGTGGTTAGTGGTGAAATCGAGGAGGTGTGTTTCGTCCTACTTTTGGAACTAGTCCTCAGTCGAAAGTACGTGTATCTCAGAGTTGATGTTCTTCTACCCGCATTCCCAACTTAGTGCCGTTCACTTTCCTATTTCATTGCATCCTTATTATTCTTCGTAGCAGAGTTGGATAGCGACTACCAGTAGTAGTACAATCAAGGATGCATGTTTCGTCCCGTTTTTTTTAAGAACCCGTCAGCTGGATATACTTACATCTCACAGTTAATATTCACTCCGGTTTGGAATGAAGCGTCCACTGCTAACCACTATTCCCCGCATCTTCTAATCCAGCTTCAAAATCTAAACAACAATAGTGAGATAATTTGTACAAGATGCAAAAAACGTGACTAATCACACTGAAGATTCAATTAACATACAACCTGAGAAACACAAACAGAAAATGAATTATTTTTAGTTATTTTTTCCATGAATAAATCACGTAATAATTATTTAATAAAGATTGATTAGAATTTCATTCAATAGAAACTTTTTTAATGAAAATATTCGGTTGATACATCAATTGAATTGTATTGCTCAATGGACTGATTATAACAAAGTGAGAAATGTTATTACAGGATATTCATCCAAATAGCCTAATTCTAATTGGTCAACATTTAAGGTCGTCTTCAACTTAACAAGTTCACATACTTTTAAATATTGTTTCCTATGTCATGCATGGTTAACCATCAAGCCTGCTGCACAGGCACATTGCTGCTTTTTTTAGGCAACACAACGATTCTCACTGTAGCCGTTCGATGATCACCCCTGCCCCAATTGGGAACATACATGTTGTCCAGTTCGGTCTGGTGGACAGGTGGACGTCCAAAAAGCACGCACACATGAGCAGTGGCCCCTCGCTCGGGCACTTATGAATCAACAAGATCCGTCCAACCAATCCACTACCCACAATCCCCGATCGGCAAGGGCGGTAAGATGGGCTATCCCAGCTAGACCTGGCGCCCCGAACGGATTACCGAGCCACCCAAGCAGTGCACTAGCCAGTAGCCGTTCCAACTGTCTGTCCTCCAACTGTCTTGCGCTGATACAATCAATCGGAGTCCCCAGGGCCCCACATGAAGCTAAAGATCGAGTTTGTTTCACAAGGTCAGCCGGAACGTATACCTTTCCATGAGGAAGATGTCATGAGCTCGACTAAGCGCAGGCGCTCTGCCAAACAGGGTTCATCCCGCTACGTAAGTGGGAAGACATCATTGGTGTCCAGTACCAGTTCAGCACTGGAACCCCTTGTTTGAGGGGCCTCGACGCCAGTTCACACACTACATCGTGTTCAGAGTGAAAGAGACAACCACATAGGGTCGGCGTCAATATTCCAGGATGTCTACGGCTGCTTCCCCAAACAGAACGTCCAGGGCCGCCTTCAATCATCTTGGAAAGCTACATCCCTTTCAAGGTATTTGCTACTATGGAATGATAGAGGACAAGTCCTCAAACCATTATCGGAATTTAATTACGCTCGATGGACGGGATTCAGACTTATAGACGTTCAGTTCTAATCCCCCAGAGTGGCTAACCGCATCCACAGCCTTGCGACCATGAACACGTACCATTATTCTGGACCATGCTAGGCACGCTATCCTAAGCGTTCGGAACGGCTTTTAGATGCGGCGCTGTAAACAACGACACGTTGCCTGGCAGGACCACGAAGAGGTAGCCGTCACCACAACCCCCAAAAGGCTCCATTTATGCGCGTCGCCTAATATACCCATTCAATTAGATGACGAGGATATTCATCAAATATCCTAATTCTATTGGTCAACATTTAAGGTCGTCCTCAACTATAAAGATCACATACTTTTAAATGTTATTTCCTCTTGGGCTTAGTATTCACGGTCGACCTAACTATAAATGTATATGCGTTGTTTGTACAGTTTTATGCCCCTCTTCTTCTTCTGTACAAAATCTCATAGTTTCTGGGTGCTTATAGAATACACTTTCTAGGCCAATATCAAGACTTTTTGATACCGTTAGTGTGGCAGTTTTGGACGCCTAGATTTGAGTAGCCTAACGTGTCAATGGATCATTTGTCTTTTCTCTCGTTTACCGACTAAGGTGAATTCATCAATTGCATTCCCACACCTTTGTGTTGTTCAAATTAAAACATGAACCTAGCATATCAGTCCGTTCGCTAAACAACCACGCTCCTACTTACTAACTTACTTACGCCTGTTACCACCAATGGAGCGTAAGCCGCCGACCAGTGTTCTTCAACCAACTCTGTCCTAGGCTTCCCTTTACAGTTCTGTCCAACTTTTGTTCATGATTCTCATATCTTTCCCTATTTCTCAGCATAATATGTTTCTTGGCCTTCCTCTTTTCCTTTTACCTTGAGCATTTCAAGTGAAGGCTTGTCTTGTGAGGCAGTTGGGTGTTTTCTGTAATATATGTGTGTCCTATCTAACCACTTCAAGAGCTTTTTCCTGAGTTACTTCTTCACTGGAATCTGGTTGTCACTGTTGGTGTCTGTCTGGCTAAAGAATCCGAAGTGTTTTGCGTAGACAACCAAACTCTATTGTAAGCTAATATGGTCGGCTTATCCAGGAAAAATACACAATGATAGCACTGTGACGGAGTTTCATCCTCTGAGCTGGAGATATTTTGGTTATGCTGCTTTCATTATGGTTCTTCTACTGAACAACATCATCGGCACAAACTTCAGATAGAAGAACTGAACCATTTGAATTTCTCCACGTATGACCTGTCGCTTGTTTTATTAACCTCGATCGTAATCGGTTATTGATTAGTCTTTAAGCTGTCTGGAAGCTTCACAACCAAAACATCCCCAGCTCAGAGAGAGAGAGAGAGAAACTCCAACACAATCATCCACTTGAACTACAAAGTTCCTTCACCATCTCAAAATCATGACAATTGCCGTCAAAGGCTAATCAAAAATATTGAATTTTACAACGAATAATGAGTAGAACTCATCAATCAGCCACTGGAAACAGTAAAAATGGCTGTTTCGTCTTGGTATGGGACTCAAGTCTGAATGTCCTGAGTTCGACGAATCCTACGAGTAGCAATAGTCATGGATGTGTATACTACCACTAAAGTGTCCCATACCAAGATGAAACGGCTATCTTTCACTGCTTTACAGGTTTGTGTAAAAACACACTGATCTCCATAACTCTCTAAAATCAAATGAATAAATAATGAGTTGGTCGATCGCTTTAATTTTTTTAAATTTGACTCATTTGTCGATTTATTTGCAAGAAAATTGATATATATATATATATATATATATATATATATATATATATATATATATGATGTTTCGTTGATTTTTTTTCTAAATTTTTAATTTCAGGTATACTAACTGGTGTCTATTATGCTGTTGGTACATTGTTAAATATTATTCTACTAGGATATTTTCCAGTGAGTTGTCAATTAGTATTATATATTCATATTATTATTAAACAAAGAAGCGCCTAAAAAATAGTTGTGCTCCGCATAAATCAATAATTTCGTTTGTCGGCTAAGATGGCGTGTAGGCGAGATATCCGTTTGCTGACTAAAGGACGAGTGTGTACTGTGCAGTGTGGTCCGCTCCGTCTTACTTTATGGCTGTGAAACATGGTCAGTGAGAGTAGAAGATATTCGTAGGTTAATGATTTTCGATCATGGGTGTCTTCGAAGCATTGCTCGTAAATTTTGGGACACCCGAGTGAGAAACGCTGTTATTAGGAAACGGGTGCTAGGTAAGATTGGCAGATCAATAGACGAAGGAAGTAATGAAACTTCATCAGTTGAGGTGGTTGGCACATGTGTTGCGTATGCCTAACCACCGACTGCCTTGACGAGCTTTGTTTTGTAGTGTAGGAATAGGTTGGAAGAAAGTTAGGGGCGGCCAAACCAAAACATGGCAGAAATCCATGAAGTCATTGACGAGTGGACTGAGTCATGTCGGTAGTTGTCGACTACCTGGTTGGGTTCCGCGTGATGTTGCTGATCGATGGTTAGATACCCTGAATGACATGGCTCAAAACCGTTTGCAATGGCGTCGGTGCATTTATTCTCTGTGTTCTCTCAAATCCTAATCTTCTGAATTCTTCAACCCCTCTAGTTTTGACTTTCTTAACTTATCTCACTGAATCACATATTTCTTGAATAATATCTTTTAATCGTTAGCCTTTCCGATTACCTCTAATACCTTTACTACCTCTTCTACTATTATGGGATTGGAATTGACAATTATATCTCCGTGCTGATGTGGTATGGCAACATGAACTGATGTACTTACGTACGAAGTTCTACGTTTCATTTGAATGACTGAAGATATTGTCTAAATGTTCGAACCACAGCACGTAGTTAGTTTCATTGCGGGGCCGTTTAGTGGGACTTCAATCTAAAGGTCTAGTATATCTACCAGGCACTGGGAGCAACCGCAAAAGATGAGGTCTCATGATAGCTAGCCGACTACCAACAACAATAGGTTTCATAAGCTGTTTGTAGTTTCCTCAGGGTTCCTAAGCTAATGTGCACCATTGGTTTGTTGGAATCAGGTTTTCTAATTCCTCGTTCAAGCTTTAACTGGGCATCGGCTTTTCATCCTCTTTGCTTCATAAGCTACATCCGTACTGCACAAGAAGACAGTGAATAGCACTTCCCTATCAGCGGATAGATGCGCATGGCTATGTGGAAGTATCTGAAGCGCAGAAATAGATTCTCTCTGTTGGGGATGTTAGATCCCCAGAACTCGCTTGATAAATATCTTTATTTTGGATCTATTTCATGGATCGATCAGTTGACCTTGAGATCATATTTCCCACCAGGAAAATCCTTGACTGTGATTGGTTACTGTGTCATTTTAGTGTGCTATTTTGTGAATGTCCCAAAGACGTCTCTATAAAGTATAAATAAACGCAACTTGAGTGCTTGGATTGATTGTGTGCTGGCCGTTTGTTTGTAGAATACACTTTCTACTCTATATCAAGACTTCTTGCTGATAAAATTTCGTCAAGGGATCAGAGTAGCCTAACTGGAGGCTGGTTCATTGTTTTGTTCTCGTTATTCCACCTAAGGTGAACTCGTAATAGTTTAAGCATACTCTGGAGACGAGCGTAAGACTCTCTTCAATTTCAGCATGTATCGAGGCATCATTTATGAAATGATTAATGATTGAACAGACAGAGATAAGACAGATATTACGGTGTGTAAGAAGGATTTGATTTTGACCAATTCGGTCTCGTGTGCCGTGACGGGTATGAGGGCGGTTGTCAATTCCCGACTGCCCACACCGTGGAAGGTTGTTTCTTGAGGAACCTGAAAAGGAAGATAGATTAGTGTTGGTCTTAGAGACCTGGGTGCGTGACCGCAGAGCCAAAGGAACAGCTGATTGAGGCCGGTCACGCATGGCCTTTTTAGAGTGTTAGCTCCGCTCTGAAGAGCCCTCAGTGGGCACCCTTACCGCCGGAGACAGAAATCCGTGAGGTAAGGTGAGGTGTGACATTTTTTGGTTGACCTTTTCTGAACCCTTCTTTCCTTGTGAGAAGTCAGCATCGCTGCAGATGCTGGTTGTTGTCCGAGGGAAACACCTTACTACTATCGCATCCCTCCATCACAGTCAGTCAGCAGTACGACTTCGCCCTTAGACCTCTTGAATAGCTGCTGCTTTTAGTCTCATCGTTCTCCAATCGACCTCTCTGGCTGGCATGGTACAACCTACAGGAACATTTGTTCCAGCCAATATAGCGCCCGGTTGGGTCATCACAATAGGCAAGCCCGACTAATACCACCATGTCAAGGTAGCAGCTACGGTCGGTGTATGATTGAACAGTTAGTTGTTGATCATCATCACTACATACCTAATTCATTGTATCCAATACAAATTACAGTGTCATAGAATATTGATGTTACTTAGTATTACGTGTCTATATATATACTAAATATCTTAATTCATAATCACGTGATCTGTTTTCAATGATGACGATGATGATGACTGACTGAAATCAATCAATTTTAATTGTGTTATTCAACAATCACTGTCAAAAATTGCATTGAAAATGTAATTTAACAAGTTAAAAGATAACAACTCTGCTGATTGAATGAATGAATAAGTAAGTAGTACAGTAAGTTAACTAGCTCTAAGACGTACATTTAAATAATATCCAAGAATCACCCTGTAGCGAACGAGAACACAGGTGGGGCAACCGAATTACAGTTACTCAGTAAAATCGGAAAACCATATCGTAAATCGTTCATTTGCAAAATATCAGTTCATCATATCGAACTGGACTGTTCCTGTTGCAAAACATCAATCCATTGTCACTACTATTCATGCGTTTCATACAAATTCCATTGTGTTCCCCCCACTCTTCCTTTCTTGATCTTCCCCCATCTTCTGCTGCCAGACATTACGTTTACACTCGCGTCATATACTACTTATAAGTAGCGCGTACCACATACTTATCTAAAATATCCGAAAACATTTTACTTAGGTCACATAAACTATTGCGCAACCTTGTATACCATGGTTGATAAACAGACAGACAGAATGTATTCAGTATTTTAGATGTAAAGAAAAGGTCTACTGTTGAATAATTGATATGCTTGAGTGCTATCACGAGTTCACCTTGATTGGTAAACGGAACAAAGGTCAACACGATAGGCTATTTTAATCCGTTGCTCCAGGACATGCTAACTAGTTCAAGAAGTCGTGATAAGGCATAGAGAAAGTGTTATACAAGCACACAAATCAAGCTTACTTAACAATGATAGAAACTGTTAGGATATTCACCAAATATCCTAAGAATACTATTTTTCAAAGTATTATCCTATTGGTCGATTTCTATTGGTCAAAATTATGATCGTTTTAACTGTCAAAGTAAAAATACTTCAATGTTGCCTCTGATTGGTCATCTGGACTGTCAATGTCATTTCAAATGTTCTTTCCTATTGGTCATCCTAAACTGTCAATGTCACAGACTTTGATGCTGTTTCCTATTCGACCTAAATGTATAAATACGCACTATCTGTAAGACTTCAGGATTCTGTTTCCGTTCTTCCTGTACTCGACCCAATAAACAACTTCCTTCCATGGTGTTGCGTTCTGATGTATATAGGAGATTTGGAAATAGCATTTTGGGTCGTACTGGGATATTTGAATTTGGACGCCGCTAAGACTGAATAGCTATACGTAACAGCATTATAACAGAAACACCCTTGGGAAAATTACAAAATTAGAGGACCTTTTCCAAACGAGGTTCGCCTAAGAAGTATGACATACTGAAACTAAAGGGTAGATTTATTTCATAGCATACATACTTGAACATTCTTAACTAAAACAGTCCGCTCACGGACCAAGAAAATCGACAGCCCAAATACCACCATACGGCAATCGCCTAAAATGGCGAGCCCTAACTTCAAGTTCATCATTAACAGTTCAGCTGCTAAGTTGAATCATTAGCGCTAATTCAGTGTTAGACTTGCCCTGTTAATTATACTCGCAATCTTATTCATTACCCTGGAAGTTGAGTTTTTGTTGTAGTATTCTTAACAATATAAAACTAATTTTTACTGCAAACTAGACATTTTTTTATCACTTACTACTACTACAAATGAGTAAGAGAATTAAGAGAAAATTTATTTTCTCTCAAAAAAATCGAACTGAATCTTGTGTGTCAACCTTCATTCATCCTTTATTTCTTTCTGAAATTATCAAAAATCATTGTGGATTTTTTATTTTTCTTACAACTAACTGTCAAATTGTCAATTATCGAAATTTGTTGTTTATTCAAATGGAATTTACAGAAAGCACGATTTTTTTGTTTTGTCGGTGTGTGTGTGTGTGTGCGCACAATAAATCAATAAATAGTTTGACGTGTAACACATAGTTGTTTGTGATTGATGAATGAATTATTGATTGATAATAACTAATGTCTAGGGGTTTTGGTGTTTTCGAGCTTGGGAGTCTCATCAGTGCTGATGACCTCAGTGACTGACGAAATCTTAGAACGGATACTAGAGGCTCGATTAGCTTTTGCCAAAATGCGTCACCCATGGCGTAGGCCAGATATCCATTTGCTAACCAAAGGACGAGTGTATTGCACAGCAGTTCGCTCCGTCCTACTATAGAGGTGTGAAACATGGCCATTGAGAGTAGTGGATATTCGTAGGTTACTGGTTTTCGATCATCGATGAATCCGAAGCGTTGCTCGTGTATCCTGGGTCAACCGCATAAGCAATTCTGTCGTCAGGAAACGAGTTCTAGTTAGGGATGCCAAATTAATCGATGAAGTAGTGAAACTTCATCAGTTGAGGTGATTGGGACATGTGCTTCGTATGCATAACCACCAACTGCCGCGACGAGCTTTGTTTTGTAGTGTAGGAATAGGTCGGAAGAAAGTTAGGAGCGGCCAAACCAAAACATGGCACGAATCCATGAAGTCATTGACAAGTGGACTGAGTCATGTTGGTAGATGTAGACTATCTGG